ACATAAAAGTTTGATAAAAACAATAATTCCTTACGAGGAAGTCGGAGCAACAACAACAACACGGCTCTTCATGGGCTGTCTTCTGAAACACTCACAGACACAAGTCTCGTGATTGAAAACAAAAGAAAACATGTTCACAAGTCGCGTCTTATGAAAAGCCCACGGCACCGTGACATTAGCTGCATCTGGCCGCTCTCTGTCCACGGACTGACACGACGTGACATTTAAGCCCCGAGTCCAGAAAACAATTTGTCAATCAAAGCCATTTTTGGAACAAGATATTTGTGTAAATGCCAAGAGTTGCTCGGGGATGAAACCAAAGCCACGACACGTTTCCAGCTGCTGTCTGATCCACTTTAACTTCCCGTCTGTTGTTATGTGCGTTAAATCAATTCCATAACGAATAAAGGCAAACATTAAGAACATTTCTACAACATCGAGGAAACAAAAAGATACTGACGAAACACTTTGTTGTGGTTACCTGTTGCTATTGGGCCCTCCGGTTTTCGGCTTATAATCATCATGATTGCAATTAAAATGTGATGCCAGCATCCGAAGTGGAAAAAATCCCGAATAAAAAAGTGGAAAAACAAAAGTTCAAACTGGTGTCACGTAGCAAACTGAGCGAAAAGCATTTAAAACATTGTCGTGAGTTTGCTAGTGAGCGGAGTCCAAGCTCTCTGGAGTTGTGGTTTCGACTGAACCAACTCAACTTATTCTCTCCTCTGGGTTTGCTAGCTTTGTTTTTTTGTTTTGTTTTGTTTTCTGGCTATGACAGTAATTTATCCTCGTTTAATTGAAATCCCAGAGTTGTGTATTCAATGTGTCGCCGTGGCTGACATTAGCCTTGGCTGCAGTTTGAAAAACCTGAACAGGCGGTGGGGGTCGTCTCCCTCAGCTAGCTAGCTAGCCAGCTAGCTCGCACAGCCACAAAAACACTGGTCCGCCCGAGAGCCGCTCCCTCTGTTAAAAATAGTTTGAGTCCAAATGTTGCAGCTCGGTGGTCTGACCCGTGTGCCCCTCGCCTCTCTCTGACGGTACAATGAGTCGATCCAGAGCACCATTCCCGTGCTTATTCCCGGTTAGCAAACAGCGATGCTACCACTCGTCGAAACCCCCAAGACTTGTCCTCCTTCGGGACAGCTCGGGGCTGCTTGGCTCGTCTTCTGGGATGGCTAGCCAAAACAGGCTAGCTCGCTAGCTGGACTTGAGCCCCATACTGGCCACGGAAACCGACCGGAGGATCCCCTTCGCACAAAGGCTTCACTTGGAGTCAGTGCAAGGAAGCTGCACTGTTAAATCCCTCTTCTGTGTGCTGCGAGTATCTTATTCGACGCGGCTGTATGTTGTTGCTAAGGGCGTCTTCACTGAGCCTGGAGTCAGCATGCAAACAGAGGGAGGAGCGGGGCGGCGCTTAGCGAGCATCCAGACAGCCGGCAGAAGGGCGCCCCGCAGCGTCCACCCGGGGCCCTGCACCGGAGCCAAGCCCGGTGAGAGCAGGCAGTGAGCTGAGTGTTCACATGTACGAGTACACAGTGTTTGTATAGCAGCATAATTTGAGTTGACACGTTCAGAGAAGTACTGCTGTCTGCTTAGCCATTTATCAGAGGTATAGACAGTAAATCTGTAGATATTGTTGTTGTTGTTGTTGTTGTTGTTGTTGTTGTTGTTGTTGTTATGGAGTAAGCTACTTTATAAATCATTATCAATCTAAATCTAAAACAATAAAATAAGACAATAAAACTTTGCTATAAAGACACTGAAACAACAAAATAGACAATAAGAAAACATTACTTAAGGTTCCTTAAAGGTTCCTGTTTTTTGAGATTGATACGCATTAATTACAGGTCTAGACATGAAATCAGTAGATAATAATACATTATTATTATTGTTGTTGTTGGTGTTGTTGTTGGTGTTGATATTAATAATATTAATTACTATAATAATACTAATGCTATTGCTACTAGAAAGGTACTTTACAAAACATTAAAATCTAAAACATTAAAATAAGACAATAACATTTTGCTAGTAGAAAATACTGAAACAACAAAAAGGACAATAAGAAAATGTTCCCTGCTTTCTGAGATTACTAGCCATTAATCACAGGTCTGTAGATGACATGTATGTATGTATGTATGTATGTATGTATGTATGTATGTATGTATGTATGTATGTATGTATGTATGTATGTATGTATGTATGTATGTATGTATGTGTGTATGTATGTATGTATGTATGTATGTATGTATGTATGTATGTATGTATGTATGTATGTATGTGTGTATTTGTTTGTTTGTTTGATTGTTTGTTTGTTTGTTTGCTTGTTTGTAGCAATCATAATGAATAGAATAATAATAGAGGTACAAGGTGCCTCACAAAACATTAAAATCTAAAACAGTAAAACATTTGTGAAGACACTGAAACATCAAAAATGCCAAAAACAACCCATTAGAAAAGGGATGAAATGTTACTCAAATGTCTGTCTGTACAGGTGAGTTTTTAAAATCTTTTTGAAATGATGCACTGACTGAGCTTTTTTGACTGTAAGGTGGAGTTTGTTCCACAGCTTTGGGTCTGAAACAGTAAAAGCACGACCCCCCTTTGTTTCAAGTTTGAGTTTAACCGATTCTCAGATCTGATAGGTCTGCATGTAGAAGATAAAGCTTTGGCCTTTTATGAGATTGTGAGCATTTCCAGAATGAGCTTCAGTGGCCAAGTGTGTGTGCACACACCAGGAGTTTGACCGAGTTTTTTTCATTGCTCTCAAAGCACTTATACATAAAACACACATGCATTTAAACAAGGGCAACAGGTTAAAGAGAGAAAAAAAAGTATTTAATCGCTGTGCATAGCTAAAGATATGTCTAAAAGTGCACGTTATTGACACTTTATATACATGAGGTACGTGTATATAAAGTGCCATGTATATACACGTACCTCATGTATATAAAGTGTCAATATATATACATACATGAGGTACGTGGATGGTTGCAAGGTTGCTGGAATGAAAATATTAACATTTTCACTATTATGTGACATTTTATAGAGAAAACCATCCATTGACCAGCCAATAACATAACCACCAGATTAATCAATAATTAAAGCAATTGTCAGTTGCAGCCTTAAGGTTAAGTGTGACTTCTCCTCAGGCCCACACAGTGCTTTTGGTCATTCACTCTGCATACCCTATGAGGAAAACTGTGGACTGAAACTGGAGAGGGTTTGGAGATACAGGGCTAGATATAGTTAGAGGCAGCGCAGAGGACAGACGGAGTGAGACCGGGCAGGCATGAGAAGGGGAACAGGCTAAATTCAGATAGTGATACATGCTGGGCAGAGGGTGATGCTAATCTTAGCTCTTTCTCAGAGGTGAGAAGAGGGGTCTGTCTATATTTGCTGCCATAAATATGCATACTGACACAGTTTCAGGCAGCCCTCTGGGTAGCGGCCAGCCCTTAAGACCAGTTTGGCCATGTTGATTATTCTTAGATGGTAGTGTATGGAGCGAGTAGGGTGACAATGCCTATAAATTGATCTGCTTATTGCACTTCCCTTTCAAAAGGGTTCAAGGTGTAAGTGTGAGGACCAAGTGCTACTTTAATTACAGCCTGTGAATTTACAACTACAGCAAGAGATGGGACCAGGTGCAAAGCTACCTATAGGTCCTTGTGGGGGTTCTGGCTGTATTTGGTCTCAGACCCTGTGACAGACACCGACACCTGTGGGTTTATTGGTCTAATGCCATATTTTGAAAGCCCTGTGAATCCAGAATCCAGATAAAAACAACCTTATGAGGGAAAGCATTGTGGAACTGTGCCACTACAAAACATTAATACTTTATTGTGTCTAGCATATCAGAATATATAAAGACAAAATCACACAAACGTCCATCTGCACATGAACACTCACTGAATTCATGCTGCATGTACTTGGTGTTTAGGTGAAGCTGTGCCACCTGCTGGGGATTCGAAAGCAATACAAGCTGGTTTCTGATGAAGAAAACATGACAGGGGCAGCTCAGCAGTTTCTACTTGGGTCATGTTCGGACAATGCAATGTGCTCAAACTAACCTCCCACTAAGTGGTGCATGAACTCCTGAAACAGATAAATAAATGCATACTTAAATCCGGATTTTGCACTGAAGTAATGTTTCAAACAGCTCTGCTTTAGTGAAGCCATGTAGGGCCACGTGACAGGAAGAAAAGAGAGCATTACAGTCAATTGGTGTTTACTTTTTTTTATTTCATTTTAATATTCTGTACAGTTCTACTGATATATTTATACACACTTCTTCAAATAAAACAAAATAAATCGCAAAAAAAGCATTAAGTCTCAACATCCTTGATGCAATATCATGTGGATGGTGTGAACCATGAAATAAATAACACACACACGCACGCACACACACACATTCACACTCCCACTGAGGAATCGTTGGAAAGACACAAGTGTTAAAGGGATGGGGGGGGAGAGAGAAAGAAAACATCCAACACCACCCAAGAATCACATGCAAAAGCACCCATACATATACTCAGGCACCTGTGTGCTGAAACACACCTTACATAGATACACAGGGGCACATGAAACAAAAGGCACTGCCAGCAGGAACAGCTCGGGCTTTTGGGTGGTGGCGGTAAAAAAAAAAAAAAAAAAAACCTAACAAGTTTGGGTTTAATGAGAAGCATGTGCTTATGGACAACAGGCCTCATTTATCAGTACTTCTAAGGAATTAATAATGTAAGAATGCGCGACAGTTTTTAGAATGCTTCGATTAAATGCGTTGATTTTATGAAACATGCACGCCCGGTATTGTTTCTTTTGCAACCTAATTTGCCAATGAAATGTGTTGTTATATTACATGTGCACTCAATGCATGTCTTTATACTCAATAAGTGAGGCCCAGTCAGGGAGCGCTGATGACACACAGACACTCATTTTAAAACACGATTCACATTTTCCTCACTGCCCGAGATGAGCACACACACACCAACCAGTAGGAATGATACCAAAAAAATATGAATATTCATAATAACAACAAAGTTAAACCTTGTCACTCTTTTTCCAGTGTCTACATAATACATATGCATTGCAAACACATCATTGGTACATCATAGCCATTATCATGAATTTTATATATTTTTGTTTCTTTTTATTTATTATTTTTTTAAGGGTGGAAGGCAGGGGGAAAAAGAAAACATAAATGCATGCCCTGCCCCAGATTTATGGGCCATTCACTGACCTGCATCTATATGTGCAAAACAGAAGCTGGTTTGATTTTTACATACACCACCTTTAATTTAACGAACTTCCAAATGTCTCTGATCCTGTTAAAATCCTCTCAGTAGATCTGTCCCTCTAAGCTTTGGTGTAAAAGTCCTCACACATTCAAATACACCCCGAACACATGTATGGAAAGTGTATCAGTAAAGGTATGTGGATTGCCTCTCTCAGTAGGCTTCATTTGCAGGTGGAGCTCATGCAAGGGTTGGTGAGATCAGGATTTAGGGGGAATGATACCACAGTTATCATCTGAGAAGAGGTTAGGATTGCGTGTGTGTTTGGAGGAGCATGGAGAGAGGTGCTAACAGGGTCTGATTGAAGATCTCTATGTCAGCGAAGCACCTGACAGCATCTTCGTGTCTTTAAGTCTTCTCACATGGCATAAAGGATAGATAAGCATGTGCTAAAATAGGGTGGTGTAAGGTGGGAGAAGGCTCTCTTTGCCCCTCTAGGTTTACTCTTTGCTCAACACGTGCTCCCTGAGAAAAAATCAGAGAATGGCTCTCACTTTCTTATGCCTCCACTCCTTTGTTTTCTTTGATTTGAAAGCAAACACTGCCTCCTGCTTCCTACCCTCGCTTTAGGTAGAAGCACCACTAACCAGTTCTTCAGCCCCTGACTCTAAACACCTCCCTCACAAATCCACATCTCTTGTATTTCAGTGACAAAAATAACACATCTGGTGACAGGCAATACATCAATTTCAAGAAAAAAACAAAGGAACACAGTGTGATTGTCCTTCCATCCCAGTGAGATGCAGAAAAAAAAAAAAAGTAATCATGCCTTCTGTGTAAATCCTAACTCTATGTGCAGGGGAGATGAGCTGAGAGAGACCCATGCATAAGTAACACTTGCAGTAGCAGCAGCAGTAGCAGAAGAAGAAGAAGGAATCTTTAAAAACACCACTGATTCATATCAGTCCCAAAGGAGATCTCAAGTCTGAGCTACAGTACAGATCTTCCTGCGTCTGTGTCCTTGGCAATGAAAACACAACTTGTCCAATCAGCTCGAAGACCACACACCCTCCTGTAGGCTTTTACGTCGCTTTCAACTCCTGATTCTCTGTGCGGGGAGCAGATGTATGGATGGTGGTGGGGGGGTAGGCTTGTATGCGTCCTGAGAAAGGATATGCGACTGCGTGTGATTTGTGTGCATGTTTGTGTGTATATAAGTGGAGCGTGAAGAAAAGTTCCACTCGGGCTCCACTCTGTGAATAGATCCTGGGGGTTTTAAGGGGTCAGCGTTGAAAGGGTCAGTCTCTCCCTGGGTTGAAGTCATAAGGTAACAGGTGAGGGGGTCAGGGGTCATGTTGTCGTAGGGCCTGCTCTAGTTTCTTTCGGTAAACTGCGTATTTTTGCTCCACTGCTCGTACACGCTCCGCCTCCTCCTTCTCCAGTATTACCAGGAAGTTTTGGAGTTCAGGGACGGAGAACGCATGCCACTGTGGGGTGAAGAGGGAAAATGAAAGGAGGAGATTTACATACTTATTATTACCTTGTTGCTTGGCATCTATAAATGTCTATCAAAATTGTATATAGACTCATACAATATAAATAAGCATTTAAAATTACACACAGAATCTGCCTGTATACCACAAATGTGTATCTACGACTTCTCACCTCTACTTCTCCTGTCTCGTTTTCCTTCAGGACAAAGCTGAGCAGCTCTGCATCGGGTCCTGCGATCAACCTCAGAAGAAGAGGACGCTCACTCAAAGGAAGCTTCTGGAACAGATCTGCACAGTAAAAAAAAGACACACTGTTCAGCGCTACAGATCAAATATGTTTTGTGCCAAACACGTGAGCCAGCAACAAAGGTGTCTCTTCCTCACCCTGTCCATCCCGGTGCGTCTGCCTGTACAATGCAAACTTGCGAGGATTGTCCAACACCATGAACTTCTTCAGCAAGCCCTGAATGACCTCTCTGGTGGTGGTCAGAGAGCTGATGTGGAGCTGCTTCACACAGTCACATGGCAAGTAGAAGGACGTCCTCTTTTCAGTGTGTCCACAGTCCGTTGCTTCCTGGTCCTCTGGAGGGGCTCGGCTGCCCGTCTGCCTGGACGCTCCTTCTGAGCCTCCGGCCTCCACTGTGACTGGTCGACTGAGCCTCAGGTGGACCTTAATGAAACCAGTGTAAGATCCGTCTGAAGCCTGGAGGGAGACACAGATTGAGAAAGCAAGAGAGAGGAGAGACAGTTCTGCATTAGTATGAGCACATACTAATATGAGCATTATAGCATGGGGAAGAAAGTACTGTATGTGGGTCTACTTTCACATTTTCACCTGTACATTTACCAGTTTCCATGCCGTTGCATACACTAATCTGTCAGTGAAAGCCAAGACATATATATATTTTAAAAAACCATATAAAAACACTATTTCTACTTTATATTTAACAATCATATTTTCCAAGATGTCAAACTACTCCTTTAAATTCACACCACAGAAGCTAATTTTTCTATCTCTTTGACCTTTGCCACCTTTCCAAATCAGTTCATATATTTAGTTACCAAAAAAAAAATGCAAACATTTATTATTTTATTGATCAAATCATGAATCTTCAATGGCTACAGTACACCAGTGATACTCAAATTAGGGCCAGTGGGCCAATGGGGTGCCGGCTAGCCTGCCAACCAACTGATTGACAAAGGGATTTATTTGTTTCATTGATACAGTAAATGCTCCTCAAGTTTGGAAATTGGTCATTGCCATCTTAACTCTTCTGAAACCAAGTGTAACAAGTGAAGGCTGGATCTGACTGAGAACTGTGCTCTGCTATACAGTAGTGACCTATCATCACCAGGCAGCCCCTCCCAAAGACATACCCTGCCTTGTCATCTATATTACCATCTTTTTAAAAAAAAAATATCATTCTGTATTCAAAAAGTCTTCAAATTTGCGATTGACACCATAACCTCCTTAAGAGAATGTTTTCTCATAGACTTGTACACAATCAGACATCTTTTTGCTGCCTAAAGTGTCGCCCTCTGCTGGCTGTTAGTAAGAATGCAGGTTTAAGGCACTTTGCATTGGCTTCACTTTTCAGACCCAGAGGCTAAGTCCATCTTTTGTATACATTTTATGCCTCTTACTCAATTAATTTGAACATAAATAATTTCAAAGAAGGATGAGTTTTTAATGTTCATTCATTTTGTCTAATAAATATTATTATTTGTTTACTAACTGGCCCCCCTCCTGTCATTTCGCAAAAATGACCCCTGGAGAAAGCAATGTGAGTGTGCCTGCTAAAATAAAAATCTAATCCACGTCACTTCTTCTGTCACTCTCAAACTACTACTGTTTTGTTGCTACTTTTGTATGATCAATCAACACACTACATCAAAGCTCAGTTCCTTATTTATACTGTACATTTTGGAAGTGAAATAGCTGAATAACAATCCAGTTTCGTTGTTGGTTTGACATGAAACATTCACCACCCACAACATGATTTAACAACTCACCAGTTTCATGCCATTTTCTGACACTTGAGCATTGTACTCCTCTATCCTGGTGTGCACCTCGTCCTCTGACAGGTCTTTTGTCCCTCGCTCCTCTTCTTCCTTTGCCTCATTCTTCTGTAAGGTCAAAAAAGAGAAAGAAAATATCAGTATTCATTGATGCTTTGAGCAGTATGAATGTTTTATCTTAACCAGCAGATGGTGCTGCTTCAACCCGTCTTGCAATAAAGAAACCTCTGTTTTAGTTTGCTCAAGTTTATGAATAGAAACACCAGAATCAGGAGAAACCCCTTCACTATGCAGCCCTTTAAAAAAAAAAAAAGTGGGCTCCCTGACTTGCAGATGTACTGGATGATGTATTAGGTTGAAAATAAGCATCTAACCCAGTTCCTGCTGGGTGGTCTCTCCTGTCCTCCATCTTTGGTATCCTCAGATAGAAAAACTGATTCTCTGACTGTAGCTGACGGGGATTCTGACACATACTAAACCACCTCTTCCTCCCCAGCAGGGTTACACAACAGAGCTGCAGCTCTACATGGGGGAAAGGAAATGTTGTGAATGGGCCTAAATACACATTCACCAACATAGTACAAGTATATTGACAGCTTCGCCTCCCTCTCACGCTTACTCATTTCCCTCTGCGACTAGGAATGAGAGCGAGAGAGGAGGAAGACGCTGTGAAAAGGGGGAGGAGGGGGAGTCAAAGAGTGGGAGGCAGTGAAAGAAGCGAGTAAAGGGTAAGGAATGATGAAAGAGCGGCTGCTGAGCCAGCCTTAGCAACACAGAGTTTGACTAGGTTATTTATAGTACAGTGGGATGCATCCTCTCTATCTCACAATAGCTTTTTTTTTTTTTTCCTTTCTACTCTTCGTTTGCATTTTCTGGGGCAGAGGGAGGGAGACACTGTGTGTGTGTGTGTGTGTGTGTGTGTGTGAGAGAGAGAGAGAGCGAGAGAGAAAGAGAGCGAGAGAGAGCAAACGTCGGGCAGGGATTGTTTCTGGAGGGGAGTCCTCAGGTTGTGTGATGAAGTCACTGTTTCTTTTAATACAAATGCAGCGTGCATATGTGCGAGCGTGCGTGTATGTGTGTGTGTGTGTGTGTGTGTGTGTGTGTGTGCACTCGTATAAACTAGAGCTACCAAATAGAGCCCATGCTGGCTTGCACTGAGCCAAAGAAGGTGATAACATTTGTAAAAGTGTGTCCATGTGTGCATAGAAACAGCGAGAATAAGGAGGGGGGCTTTGATTTTTCCATTTCATAGCTCATTCCTTTTGTTGCTGCTTTTATCTCTCTGCCACACTTATCATCAGGCACTCCTCAATGCACTTACAGTTCTGCTATCATGTTAAATGCCCATGATGCAGCAGAAAAAGAAGGTGATGCTGTTAAAAAATAAAACCCTGCCTGCATTAAGATAAGTTTTTATGTCATATCAGAATGTGAAAAGTGAGCCATTTTCGCATAAATATGACTAACGATATGTTTAATGAAACTCAGCAGGATAAGTGTTCTGTAATTCAGGGCCATGGGAAGAATCTGAGGGATATAGAGGAGTTGTTTCTTGAATTCCTCCCAGCTGAAACCAACAAAGTGAAAAGAACCTCGCAGGAATTCCTGCGTTTGTATGCAAGTTTCTAAATGTATCAGAGGCACTGCCCTGCCCTCCCTTTCTGCATACCAGTGAGAGTGATCAGAGGACAATAGAGTGGGACAATAGTGCAGTTTTCGCCCCTGAGAGTTCCACAAAGTCCTGACCGGAGCAGGTCACGGGGGAGCCAATGACCGGCTGGACATAGACAGAGATGTGAAACTAAATGTGCAGTCTGCACTAAGACAATCTTGTGGTTAGAGGAAAATATAATTTTTGGGGGGGACTAGCACCATGACCAACTGCTTGTGAAGCAATGAAGAATATAACAGACAAACCATTTGTCACTATAGATTGTTGGTGCCAGAGCTCTACACTGACAGGTCAACAGCTCTAATTTAGTGTCCATTATGCAGTCAGGAATCTTTAGAACTACTGTAAGTGCTTTACAGTCTTCCATCACCTAATGAATATACATAGTAAGTTATCACCTGTGGTCCATAGAGTATTTAGATTTTTTTTTGTCTACACTTTTCCAATCTCATACACCAAATGCACAGATTTTGCTGCATTTAGTTTCTAAAAGTTTTTGTTTTAATACTTTGACATCAATCTTTATTGCGTTTACATGGTTACTTTAAGGGCGGCAAGGTTTTTCGGTGGTTAGCACCGTTGCCTCGCAGCAAGAAGGTCGCCGGTTCGCATCCCGGTGAGGACATCTTTCTGCGTGGAGTTTGCATGTTCTCCCCGTGCAGTGTGGCTTCTTTCCAGGTTCTCCAGCTTCCTCCCACAAGGTCCAAAAACATGTTGAGGTTTATTGGTGATTCTAAATTGTCCATAGGTGTGAATGTGAATGTGCTTGGTTGTCTGTCTCTAAGTGTGGCCTTGTGATAGACTGGTGACCTGTCCAGGGTGTCCCCTGCCTTCGCCCTAAGTCAGCTGGGATAGGCTCCAGCCCCCTACGACCCTAGTGAGGATTAAGTGGTGTATAGATAATGGATGGATGGATGGTTTCTTTCCTAAAGAGTCAGCAATCCTAATCTAATACACTTCTTGTCAAAATCAGTTTATATCTCTTCATGGTCAGCTGGCTGTCTGTTCTGTGCGCGAGCTGAAAATAGATCCAGTGTTTCTACACAATACTGGTTCTGTAAATGGGAAACAAAGTGGTTCGGCCCGATCCACACAAAGCATCACAACATGACCTGTGCATGAAGGGGGAGGTAAGAAGAGGGATGGTAAATCTTACATGTTCTAAAGATACAGACATACTAACTTGCTGAATATCAACAATCTTCCTCCAGAATCACAAACTCTCACCATACACAATGCTAGGTATGGTGCTCCAGGCAAACAAGGTACCTGATGAAACAAGTGATGCACTAATGTGTTCTTTTTTACTGACATCACCTCAGACAGCTAAAGGTGCATAATAACAAAAAAGCACAAACTGCTTGCATTGACTGAATGCTTTGACCTTTACAGAGCATTTTGTCAGATAACAACAACAACATCACAGTGACAGATGCATGTCCAGACCATGTTATCCAGTTCATCTATGCTATCTTACTGTATGTTGTAAGGCAGCTAAAATGTGTAGGATATATTTGAGTGTTACATAAGTGTCACATACACATGTGCATACATGCCATGCAGATACAAACACACACACACCCTGAGGATGGCATGACTAAGTGCTGATGCTCTCACTCTGATGAGATCAGACAAGAGAGGTCGTATGACTGATTGAAATGTCACTGCAAAGTAGTCGGCATTACACCGCGTTCCCGACCTGTCTGTGTGGGGAATCTGACCAGCTTTTTGTTAACTTGACTCCTGACTGACTCTTCATTTTGACAGTCAAAAAAAAATGTGTATGCATGTGTGTGTTTGTGTTTGTGTGTAACACTAAGGACATAAGGAGCTTTGTCAAAACAATACTTAAAAAACAAAAGCAAAAACCACATGGGCTAAATTCAACACACACATACACATAAAGTATGCACATACTAACTACAGTGGGTTAAGTGTCAAGGTGGAGAAGCACAATCGAGAACACGCGTGTTGATTCTGTTTCACAGCGCAGAGACTGCTGTGTGCCATCAGTGCCAGCAGAGCACACATCTAATGTATGCACACACACGCACGCACACACACACACACAGACACACACACACACACACACATTACAGCTGGCTGGCAAATCAGGAGCAAAAGGCTCAGCTCTGGAAATAATTCATAAAGAAAAGAAGATCTGAACTCCATTTCCCTGTTTTAATGAATGCCTCTCCGTCTACATAAACGCACACATGCACGGAAGAAGACTCAACAACACAGTGACGCACACTTAATCCCTTATACACAAAATATGATGTCTCTGTTCACAGATTTTTGCATACCTCTTTTCCATATTCAAACAGAGGGAGGAATACAACACTCTGCTCAGTAAAGATGCACTAAAGGCCTGCACTGCCAGAGGATACAATTCAATTACTACTGAGGAGGTTGAGCCATTTATGTTAACAGTGCTGCTATATTATATTTCACACAGTTTCTATATGGTGCCAGGCTAATCTGTCCTCATCACCTGGCAGCTTCTGTGCTGGCAGGTCAGACAGGCTAACCTCGATACCTGTCTGTATCGGCATGGCAGGAACCCTAACTCTGCACGCTGACAGCACAGCTGGTCAATTATTCAGAGATTATACCTTCTCCAAGTCAGACACCAAACACAGTGCAAGACAGGGACGGCAAAAAGAAGAGGGCTGTGTTCTACATGAATGCTACTGTCTGCTTAGTCTGCCACTGTCTCGTTTTTTTTCTCTCCATACAAACAGCTCCCTGCTACTGTGCAAACTGACTACAGTTTATTACACAGTTATGTGTGAAGTGATCAGATGTACAGTAGAGCAAAACAAAATCTCAGGAAGTGTGAAAAACTGCCAACAAAACCATGAGTTGCCATGGTAACTAGGAAAGTACAGATAAGTAGTTGCCCCACACACACATACACTTGTGCAAAACTATCAGCTTTGTTTCTACGGAAACCTCTCCCACACACTGTAGAGAGGAAGCCTCTATGGAATCTGTAGGTTTGGATCATTAACCTAGAATCTCTGCGAAAACACAGCAAACACTGCTAGCCGAATTTAGAAGTTTGAGGTGAAACCGCACAGCAGCAGGTCTTTGCTGTCATCAGGCCTACGCTGAATCTATACTAGCTGTTCATTTGAGAAATGAGTTGCCCAAAGGCATCAAGGTTGATGAGTGAGGCTTGCAAGCCGGCAGATCAATGTTTCACAATGCAGATGTATGACAGTAACCCTGTCCTACACTTTCACATACATTCACACACACACACACACACACACACACACACACACACACACACACACCTAGACGCCTGCCTGAACATGCACAAACACCACCACTTCCTCTCCTGACTTCTGCTTTTTGCCTGCATGTTTTTGATATAGACGTAAATGCTAGTTTGTTTCCCAGGCCCACTCAAACACCAACCATTTTACCCATCTAAGTTTGTCCTAATATCACAATTTCATCTGTCAGGCTGCAGTGTTGTCCTGATGCTGTACCTTAGCTGCGTGCTTGGGTTTGCAGAAGAACGAAGTCTTGGCTGTGAAGAAAGAGAAATCCTCGTTCTCATCATCCAGGCTGCAATACCCGCTGCTCATGCTGTTACTGCTGGTCATGGAGGGGGTCGGCACCGTGTTGACAGTCATGGAGAGGTCCGAGGGGAGTCTCTGGCACCGGAGCAGCACCAGAGCAGCACGCTGACAGCTTGAGGAAGTGCCGGATTGTCTCGAAATGCAGGGCTGAAGTGACACTCAGCCACAATCAGAGTCCAAACGCATCTACTTGTCCTTTGCTCATCCAGAAAAAGTCGGCGCTCCTCTGCTGATGCATCCAAAGAGTTCAAGTCCCACCTGTGATGGCGAAACAGGCGAACTCAGCTCAGATTCGGCACTTTGGGCGCCACCGGAGAGGGGACCAGGAAATACGAGAACAACCACAGAAGTGTCACTTCCTCCTGATGGCTGTGTGTGTGAGTGAGCGCTATGATGCCGGTGTCACGGACTCACACAGGTCATACAGTAAATGCACCTAGCCAAACATACAGACATGTACACATTTACACACGGCTTGCCACTACCTCACACACTCACACACACACAGATATAGGCACACGGTGGTGTCATGGAGTCGGCTTACAGGTTGGTTTCAAGTTAACCCTGCTCACCTGAGAGCACCTGTTATAGTCACAAGCAAACACTCATAAAGGCATGCATGCAATATCACATCCTCCTCTGGTCCTGCTCTGTGTCTCACTGCGAAGGAACAGTTCAATTTAAGTCCCGGTTGCAGAGGCAGCTCAATTATGCTGGCATTTATTTGTGTAAGCATCCATCCGTCCCCGGGGTCTATAGAGTAAACAGCGGCCGAAGATCTCTTGGCTGTAGCGACAAGACGTTCACAGATCCCGCACTGCCTCCTCTCTCCTCCTCTCTCCGTTGCTTTGGCAATACTACCAGAGAGACCGATTCCTCCCACTCAGCTCCTCTCTTTCTTACTCTTTCCTTCTCTCCTCTGCCTGTCTTTGCACCCGTTTTGCTCCCTCGCTCTCTTGCAACCTTGCTCAACCATCTGTGGTTTAGTGTGTTATCAGCCTGCGAGTACCCTCCCCCTTTCTCTCTCCACTCTCTCTCTCTCTCTCTCTCTCTCTTCCTGCAAGCGACTGCACCCTGCAGAGCACAGCCACTTCCTCTCACAGAAGACGAGAGAGAGAGAGAGAGAGAGAGAGAGAGAGAGAGAGAGAGAGAGAAAGGGAGAGGCAGGCATGGGTAAACAGAAAGAGAAATGCTGATGAGTGAGAGATATGAAGCCTCACAGTTCAGTTTTACATACGTAGGAGCAGCAGTGACAGGAAGCAGCACAAGGGCTGGGCAAGATGGCTGCTGCTGATATTCTGCTACTGCATGAAACATTTGACTAGAAACCATCACAACCACCATGAATGTGGTTTTTATAGGGCCATTTGGTTAATTAGGCTAATTAGGGCACCAAAACCAGTTTGGGACAGATGCTATTATAAATCCAGCTTCACTACTGCTGCTTTTTTGATAGCAAAGGTGTGGGCTTGTGGTGCTTAAGGTGAGATGAAAAAAATAATGAATGATTGCCCTTGCCATAGAGATTACAGTGACCTCTAACCTCACTCTGACCCCACCATCTGCCCTCTGACTCTGGCAGTGACCCCCCTTGTCAAAAAGCAGCTAATGCCCCCTGTCACTGCTGAGATTGATTGCACACATGTGCAATCTGTCTACAGATGCTGTTTCTGTGCTTGTAATATGATTTTATAATCGGCTCAGACACAATTATAGGTGAGCGTCTATGCTGTAGGAGAGCAGTGGCACGCAGCCACAGGGTGTTACCCCTTTCACTGGACGTCCTGTCAGGTTGGAGTCAGCAGAAGACTGATTACCTACAGCTCTGCTCCTTCCCTCCATCAGTGTAATTACTATTGGAGAAGACAGCGAGCAGGGGGTGGGATGCTACAAATCCACTCACACTCACACATGCGCAGTGAAGAATATTCCAGTTGGCTTCAAGTCGATGAAACCTGGTCGGTGTGCTGAATGTGTGTGACTGCAGCAGTGTCTGTGCATGTCCGGGTGAAGGAGGATCAATTTTTGCTGATGCACACACAATACAAGAGAGGGGGGGAGACACAACCACGCACGGACACACAGTCACAGCTATAAAACAGAGCAAAGGGACAAAAGGACTGCAGGAAATAAACCGTCATCTCTGCTCTTGTCTGCAGCACAAGCAGCCAGTAGAACCTAACCAGAGTGAGTACAGAGACAGGCTTTAGAGTCCATGTACCTCCCAGGCAGACATCATCAACACTCACTTAATTCTGACTTATAGCTCATTAGCAGCAGTGGCTACACTAAAATTAACTACATTGTTTTGTTTTGGCGCTGCAAGGTAGCTCAGTAGTTAGCACCATTGCCTCGCAGCTAGAAGGTTGCCGGTTCGCATCCTGGTGAGGACATCCGAGACTTTCTGCGTGGAGTTTGCATGTTCACTCCCTGTGCAGCGTGGCTTCTCTCTGGGTTGTCCGGCTTCCTCCCACAGTCCAAAAACATGTTGAGCTTAATTGGTGATTCTAAATTGTCCGTAGGTGTGAATGTGAGTGTAGCCCTGTGATAGACTGGTGACCGGTCCAGGGTGTCCCCTGCTTTCACCCTGAGTCAGCTGGGATAGACTTCAGCCCCCTGCGACCCTAGTGAGGATTAAGTGGTGTATAGATAATGGACGGATGGATGGTTTGTTCCGGTAGTTTTGGGATATTGAAAGAAATGAGCATGTGTTTGGCGAAAAAACGAAGTTTGCTGCTTGGCACCACACATGAGAACAGATTTCCTGAAAAGTGTATTCATCTCCCTCCTCACTTGCTCCAATATTCACCATCAACATGTTTCAGGGCTCCATGCGCGTTTGCTCATGCTCTCTATTAGTACTACTTGGCACACTACCAGGGGTCTAATTTTGCATTATCTGGCCCCTGGGCATAGAGAAGCTGGCAACAATTTTGCTGTAGGCCTGCGTGGTTATCCAGCTTTCTGTGTGTGTGTGTGTGTGTGTGTGTGTGTGTGTGTGTGTGTGTGTGTGTGTGTGTGTGTGTGTGTGTGTGTGGACCACATCGCGTGGGTGACTGCAGTTGGGATGCCAAGAGCAGTATGCAGACTCACACTCTTTCAGGTTCCTGTACACAGCCATGCACTCACATGGAGTACTATTTTGAGGGTGCATTTTACATAACTACTGTATCACTGAATGTCCTGCGGTTTGTACAGTATGAGAACATAGAAATGTGAATAGAAGCGGAAGCTGTGGAGCCACATAATACCTAGGTATAATTCTAAAGTACTGAAACAGTGGATAACAAAACCTTCTCCACTGGCTCACAAAACATTGGTGAATAGGTTATGTGAACACAGCTGTGCCATCACTGAGGTCTCCACAGAGAATTGTGATTAAACTAATCAGTCTACATTCTTTTGATGAGAGATATGATGGCATCGGGACCCACCGCTGAGTAAATAAAACAAACCCAAACTGCAGGAAAAAGGTGGCAGAAGGGAGAGGGAAGATGGCCAGAGAAGTCATGATAGTAACCAAGCAGGCAGGAGAAGAGGAGGTAAGCAGATGCTGATGTGATGTAGCAGATTCTGTCCTGAGAACATTCTGTGACCAAAGAGGCAAATGAGCGCATAAATAAATTCATAAGTAGACAGCCTGTTAAGTCCAGCGTGTTGTAAAAGTGGAGGATGGTTACGTAAAAGTGTAGGCATGGAGAGATGCTGAAGGATGAACCCTACTATTACCCAATCCTGACTCATGTACACCTGTGCAAACTCTCTACAAAGTGTTCAACACGTTGGAAGTGTTTGCGTCACCTCAGTGATCCTAAAAATGGCACGGATAGCTCCCCATGGCCTTTTTCCTCAAGCCTTCTTTCATCGAATGTAACTGTCATTTAAATACTCACTCTGTGTTGAGGAGCTGTGGAGGAGCAGTGGCTTGTGGGAGATTGAGTTTCTTCGGGCTCTCTGTCTCTCTGGTTGCAGTCGAGCTGGACCTGACTCTCACACTCCAGGTGACAAGTGTAGCTGCAGTCTGATGAGCACAAACACACAATGGTCAGAAACAAGAGCGAACACAAGGATGGGATCAAACAGTGAGCAGCAGTAATGAAATCTGATGTTGTTCTAATGATGTGACTGTGTAATGCTGTTTAGTCGGCTGTAAGTGTGTGTGCGTTAACAATGAGGAAGTAAAGCTCCATTCTGATTTAATCATGTGTAGTCATACAAAAGCTCCCTTTGCACAGAAAACTGGCTCCATCTAGTGGAAAAATGTTAGAATCACACATATGAGCCTTGTGAGTGCAGGGTGAGGATTCATTAACCCCCCGAACCCCGAGCAGCTTTTAAGTGTTGTTTGTTTTCTTCAGTTACATTTTCAATCACTGTGGGCTCATTTTTCACTGCAAGATAAAGTTCTGTCCCCCTATGGGAGGGATCACATAAATCCTAGAAAAGAAAAGATGAAAGTTGTATTTTTTTATTCTACAACAAATGAATAAAGCTCTGTAGTTATCTAAAAAGCGTATTTTTACAAACTAGTTGTCTTCCAAATCACTCTGCACATCAACTCTGTGCAGTGCATCGTCCAACAACTTCCTCTGTATGAAGCTTTTGAGCCTTTTTTTGCATTTATTTTACTGATCAAGTGTGTTTTATTTCCCTCTCGGTCTCCCTCGTGGTCAGCCTGACGTGCAGCTGAAAAGTCCCTGAATTTCTGTCATGTAACTGTTGGTTTCAGCTGAATCCCTCGTGGTTTCTCAGTCACTCTTAGAAGCTCAGAATTATTTTATTTTTCACAGAATCCAGTTTGAGCAAATAACTATTTTTGGCATTTAAAAAAAAAGACAAAAATGTATAATAAAGTGATTTCGATGAAAAATCACAATTTCAAGCTTAGATGCGGTTCCATTTTCTTACGCAACCACAGACCATGCATGATTTGTTCAAGGACTGTCTGAAAGTTAAAAACACTTTGTGGCTCTGATAAATAGTGTAGTTTCAGTGAAGATAATGTTTCTTTTAAACCCACCAGCCAGGTTTGGAGCTCAGAGGGTTCACAAAACCCAACGGACAACATGTTTGTGTACAGAGTGATTTAGGCAAGGTACCTGCACAAACAGGTGATATTGTGATAACATGAAAAAATGCCCAAGAATCTGAATACCTGCACTACAACAAAACCTAAGAATTCAGGGTCACTCATGTCTTATTTCATGCATCACAAAGCAAGAGATCTATTAGAGGCAATTCGATTACATACAAACACAATCTCTGCTGGTTCATTATGTATATATGAGATCCGGCACAGAATAAATAAATAATGTAACACAGATATAATGTATTGTAGCAACGGATAGACTCACTCCACTTAAACACTGAAGGCCAACAAACAGTACCAGTAAAGCAGCCCTGATACCGTCAACTCCCATCTGCCGCTCAGCTAGAAAAGAATACACTCGGCCGCTTCCCCTAAAACTTCTCAAAATAGTCCACTGTTCTTTAATTTTTAGTTGGTTTCACATATGTCAGCCTCTGCATGTTTATGCCTCGCAGACTTTATTGTGGCCACGGGCTTTCCTGCTGAGACGCTGAGCCTCAGATCTCACTTCTCCTCAGTTGGTGAGATAATCCATGCAAGAGCAAAGAGAGATCTTAAAGCTGCAGGGACAAAGAGAGAACTGCAGTTCGGGGAAACTCTGAGTCAGATCCCTTTTTTTTCATGGCTGTCAAGCAGGAAAGCTTCTCAGATAGGCCGCATGCAATCAGCGATACTGAATAAAGACATAAATGTTTGCTTGAAAACAACACACTGTTTTCCGTTACACCCATTTGCTGCAGCCGGAGCTGAATAAATAAGCTGAGGTGAGCCTGGTTGTTTTTCCTGCCTGCTGATATTAGCGGGTCGGTCCGCAAACAGAAGGGACACCGCTACGTCTCTCGCACTCAGCATCAGCACCGTCCATCGCCATGGTAACAAGCTTCTTGATGACCACTGCTGAAGAGGAAGAAAGAGCTCTGCTTACATAAAGACACTGGCAGGATGCAGCGCGTGGAGGTTTTCTGGTTAATAGCTACTTATAAACTTACACAATAATTATATAGTGTGGGAATGAAACGCTCCACATCAAGCAAAGAGGACAGTTGACAACAAAGAATAGTTTGCTCATAAGAGCTCAGAGGCCACTAAACACAAGTATGTGTGCGAGACAGGTTGGCTGAGAGAGAGAGTGAGAAGGAAAGGCTGCGATATCTCGCTGACAGGAGGGATGTGTCGAGGAAAGAGGAGAGAGTTCAGATAAGGGATGCTGCGCTCACGACAGTTTAGAGGTCACTGCAGATAGAGAGAGAGAGAAAGAAAGGAAGCACACAGGGGAAGGGAAAAAGAGAAACTCCTTTCCTGTCCTGCTTTCATTTAATCAATCCGTCGTCATACTGGATCACTGACTCTGCCTTTGCGTCTACATGTGGCCGAGTCAACTCCTCTCCTGCTGTCATTCAGAAGGTAGAAATCAGTGTTGCTTTTGGGTGGTGAGGATTTAGAGAGGACACTGCCCTTTTCTCTGATAATCAGAAGGTTTGGCAATGCTGCTGAGAGAGCTGGAAGGAAAACCAGACCATCAAGAGTAGAAACCTTTCTCTGTTCCACGCCTCCAGTTGAGCTGAAAGTATCTATCCCTATGCCAGTTGTGATTCATAGTGACTCTTTAATAAACTAAAAAGTTTTCTTGGGCTGATGATGACATAAAGAAGTGAGAAAGGATGGTAAAACATTGAGTTACAGATGTGAATGACACATTTTTCTGTCTTCCATCCATCCATCCATCCATCATCTATACACCGCTTAATCCTCACTAGGGTCGTGGGGGGCTGGAGTCTATCCAAGCTGATTTAGGGTGAAGGCAGGGGACACCCTGGACAGGTCACCAGTCTATCACAGGGCCACACTTAGAAACAAACAACCAAGCGCACTCACATTCACACCTATGGACAATTTAGAATCACCAATAAACCTCAGCATGCTTTTGGACTGTGTGGGAGGAAGCCGGAGAACCTGGACAGAACCCACACTGCACGGGGAGAACATGCAAAGTCCACTCAGAAAGATCCGGGTGTCCTCACGGGGATGCGAACCGGATCTTCTAGCTGCAAGGCGACGGTGCTAACCACTGAGCCACCTTGCAGCCTTCTTTTTGACAAATTTTACTTAAAAATTCTATACCAAAAATTATTCATACCACTTGGAATTGCCACAAAGTTTCAGAAAATGCTAACTTTCATATCCCTCCAAATGTTATGTGAATAATTTTGTGCTGAACTCTACATGGTCCACTGCTACAGTCAGCAAGTCATGGTTCACCTCGGATCCAGATTATTCCCACACTGATAAGACACACCCTTGCATAAATAAGCACACAACAAAAATGGCATTTCAGCATTTTAGATTGAAAATTCACACAAGTGTCAAAGGGAAGGGGTTCAGAACAATGTTTTACATGCGTGATTTTAACTTTCATAAAATGTACTTTTCGGACGATGACGAGCCTTACAGCTCAGATGCAACTTTTAATAGCTTCAGTTAAGCTGCTAAATGAGAAATCTGCATGATCCAGGCTTTTTCTAAAGGTGAGAGTGTGTGTCAGCATATCGATGTGGATATGTGCACGAGTACTATGTGTACCTCCTTGAGATGCAGCACCGTGCATGCGTGGCTGCTAATAAGCAGGTGGAGACACTGCAGTGACCCAGAAGGGTTTCTGAAGGTCATGCAGTTACGCTGACGCTGCACACACAGCGAGAAAAATGAAGAAGGCGAATGAAAGAGAAAGTAAAAGAGGACGATGAAGTCAGCAAAAAAGGCCTGTTTCCTTGTGTTATTATGATTGAATACCAATTGAGACAAACCCCCCGCACTCCATGTTGGAACTCGCATGGGTTTTCCCCTTTCACTTCTCTGGAAAGTACATACTGACGCCGACCGTCAAATGGAGAAGTTGCTTGAATTCAGAGTCACTGAGGCAGATCCCTTCTGCTGAGCTTTTTAGGTAATTCTACATTCAGGTCCAGTTTACAGGAATTGCCAACCTACTTCCATGTTTCTACTCCAAATTCTGCTGGGAACTACCTTTTACTCCACACATTTGCTTTTGTTTCTTGAAGTCTGAGCTGAACCAGAGAAAAGAGCCTTCATGCTGCCTTTGAACGGAAAGTGCTTCAGTCACATATAAAACTTCGATGTCCTCATTGGACTCCTTTAAAAGCATTTATGATTTGAGGGAAGCTAATCAAGCTGACAGCTTTAATAGACCATTTTATTAGATTTATCTTTTGTCTGGCAGACTGCAGAGCTATGATTCTTTTGATTCTTTCTGCCTTATCAAGTTAAGCTGTCATCATTATTCTTGCTTTATATAGCTTTGGATTCTAATACAGTCATTGTGGGCCGACTTTGCTTTTAGTTTTTAGACATATATATGACAATATTTGATGTCAATCTGTACATGTTTTCATAGCCAGACTTATATGTTGTGTAACTTTTAGACCAGCACAACCCTCTAAAATATGTTCAATCTCAGTGAGCCATTCCTCAGTTAAATACAGGTATTACATAAATTTATACGCTTTGATGACACTAAAACATGCAAACACAAGTCCAGTGCAGGTACAGAACACCAAGTGATTGAGTTGACACTGCAATGAAGTTGTGTCCTAAACACTCATCATCAGCTACCGCACAAAGCTGTAATGTCTGTGTTGTTACAACATGAAGAAGGGCTCCGGTGTTGTGTGTCTCCACGGTACACCGACTTTGGTCACTCCAACACAGCAGGAGATGCGTGCACAGACTCCCTCTTTGTCTCTGAGCCCATCATTCCAGTCTGACTGCTTTTTTACCGACACTGCTTAGAGAGAGATGATGCAGATTGACGGAGTTGGGACAAAGACGCAGCTCGAGGAAACTCTATTGGTGCAGTGGAAAGGGATGAGGCAGCTCAGACATTCAATATGTAAAGATCTATATGTGGCGGCTGT